AGGGTATCACAAGAACTGGAACATCTGCTATTTCAAAATAGGGACTTCTCATAGGATATTAAATAAACTCATCCAAGTTAAGAATGATGATGTCCCAGTGCCTATATGTCTGTCTGTACTCAAGGGATAATGGCATTGATAGCCTTACCAGATTTTCTAAACAAGTAGCTTACTCATGTTCTGGGCTAAATTTCATTTAATCCAGACTGTCTTTTCCTTGGTGATCCAGCATCTGAAAGGCCTGGTGTGTAATTCACCTGACAGCTAAGGGCTGCTACACTTTGAAGCTCCTTTTGTTTGTATTTGTAAAATTTATGTGAACATTACTGTGAGTGCAGTGGTCTGCTCAGATGTGTGTTGGGGTTTTTCCTTAGTGGAAAAGAGCAAAACTAGAGGGAGAGAGACACGAACATTGTATCAATGTTTGCATCTGTGCTGTGACTATTGGAGCAAAAATTTGCAGATTTGAGGTCACTGTTTTAGGGTTTATCCAAGTGGTTGTGCAAACCTGGGGGATTTTGTGTATAAATTATGAAAAAAAGGGAGGAAAAAACCAACCTGAAATGAGACAAGATAGTTCTTCTCTAATTTGGACCTTTTTCTGGAAGGTCATTTAATTTCAGGTGGCTACAGACACTTTGCCTGCATTGAGGCTCCAGACTTTTCTTTTTATGGCAGATGTTAGCAATGATGTGAAAACTTCTGATGTGAGCAGTCTGTCCTACTAGATGACCTGTCCACGACACAGTAAACCAAGGTGCTTGTTGCAAAAGGGAAGGGAGCATTCTTAATCCTAATCTGGTAGTACCTCTAGAACACAGCAGGCCTTGAGAGTAAGCAAAGAAAGGAGATTTCATGTCTAATGAGATGTAAACTTTCCCAGTGTACCTTTTAAAAGCAAAGTGCTGCCAGAGGTTGGGAGGCAGAGAGGCCTTGCTTTGTTCTACAGTGATATTCTGGGGCTCTTGTGTGATTGATTGTGCCCTGGGAGAGGCATTGTTGGGGGGGGGAGACACAAAAACACAAAACCAACCAGACATTTCTCAGGATTGGGGTGGGGGGGAGAGAGGAAGAATGAAAAATGGGCTAATTGACCACCAGGTCTTCTCCAGAGGCCATTCTAATACAGGTGAGCAGTGTGTGTGCACACAAACTTTTCTATGCTGGCAGCAATCTGAGAAGCATAGCTTTTGTCTGTCTTTAGGAAGTCAACAGAAGCTACAAAAAAGTGTAGCACTTGTGCTGAAAATGTGAAAATCCTGATAAAATTGTTACCTTGAGGATAAAGTAGTGGTTTGCTGCTTAGAGCTGCATGAGGATTGGGGGAAAATCATTAACAGCCTGCTCTATCAACCTGGACAGCAGGGAAATGCCAAAGACCTTACTTGTTGGCCCATTAGAAAGTTTTACCTTTTATGAGGAAAAGTATGTGCCCAAATATAGTAAAATAATGTATTTTAAATGAAGAGGTTTTACTTGTTTTGAATGTGTTCAGGTTGAAACTCCTCGCAGTCAATACTGTCTTTGCCAACTAATTACATAACAGTGAAACTGGATTTTTGCTAACTGGGTAGTTTGAAGCTGAAGTTTGCTCTCATATTATTATGTGTTATGAAATGTTTTAGTGTTTTCATTTGTATTTCTAATTTTTGCATGAAATACAAGTTGATGCATAAACCTGATGAATTACCATAGTTTCTGAATCTGTAGGATATTTTTTCCCTTCCCTTTAATAAAGTAATGAAATAAGTGAATAAGGAGTATTTTTGTCTTTAAAGCACTACCTTGAGGCCTGCAGGGATGGCACTGTCTGTTTTGCAGGGTTGGCTGTGTCTCATCATCAGCTTCCTGTGTGGTGTAATGACATCCGTTATCCCCAGATGCAGAGGTGGTAAGCTGTCTATTGTTTCAACAGAAGTACTGGGAACAGAGTTATTTTCTTGATTGGCTTTTCAATAAGAAAATACTGAACCATGTAAGGAAGTGGAGGGTTTCTTGTAAATCAAGGTTTGACATCTTGAGTCTGCAGAAGAGCTCCATTACATTAGTTCCTGGTTTTACAAGGTGGTTAGCTGAACCTTCTAAAAGTTATGATCACTGCTGCTGTTCCCAGTGGTGGATACAGCAGAACTCTACCCTGGGATAGCAGCTGATGGATCCACTGCTTTGTACTGAGAATGTGTCACTGCAGAGCAGAGACATGGCCTAACAGTTCAGCTTCTTGGCAGTAGTAATGTGGGGTTAAACAGAGGCCTGCAAATTCTGCCATCAAGGTTTCCTTGATGAAGAAAAAAAACTTGTGGAAGGCAGCTTAGAGCTCTTAACTTGAGAGAGACCTTGAGCTTCCTTCCTGAACATCTGATTTGGAAGGTCCTAGTCTTCCGTCTGTTCCTGGACAGGGTTTTGGCAGCATCTTCACAGCAACTTCGTAGTTGCAAGGCATATGTAAATGTTTAAACTGTTACATGCTGTTGTAGGGTAATTGCTGTTCTACTTGGCACCTGGGACTAGTTCTGCTCGTAGTCTGACATGGCTTACATCCTCACACAAAGCTAGAGCTCATTACAGGAACCAAACTCCTGGTTTTACAGCTCACTTCCCCTGCAGCATGTGATGAAAGCGAGGAAAAAAAAAAAGATGCACCGAGATAAGCTTTCTCTATGCCAGTTTGTCTTGTGACTCAGCTCCCAGGTCAGATCTTGGCTAGCTCTGCAGGCTGTCATGCCATGCAACTTGCTCTTTTCTCTGGGTAGTACAAGGCGTGTGTTAAGACTTAGCAGCAAGGTGAGATGGCATGTTGGGGGGGGGGGGAGGGGGTGGTGGCCGTTGGGGGGGGGGGGGGTTTGTTGTTTGGTTGGGTTTTTTTTAAAAGCTTCCATGATCATTGCTTTACATTGCTAAGTTCCAAAGGGAAATTAAGCCAGGTGGAATGATTTCTAGCACTAGGACTTCCTGCACAGAGAAATTGCTGGAATAAAGTAACAAGCAATGCCTGCCTGCACAGCCACCCGAAAGCTGAAGATGCAGTATTTCACCAGCTGCAGGTGTTGTATTTCTCCCTCCTTAGCAAGGCAAATTCATATTAGTTCTTAATATTTTCAGAGTACCTATCAACCAGTGATTCTGGTACAGAAATAGCCCAGCTGCCTCCAAACTAAAGTATATGAGCAAAGCCACAAAATTTTTTTTTTAAATCTCCTGGAGGTCAAGTTTGTACCAACAGACAATGCTGTTGTCTTGTGTTCTTTCAAACCTATAGGGGCAGTTCAGGGTTAAGTGCTACATGGGAGAGGTTCCATATCACTCAGCATATTTTGCTGAAATCTTCCTCTGCAGCTGATTTTCTTGCTTTCCCAATATAATGTCCAACTACAGCTTTCACTTTTGGACATCTCCTTTTCTATTGCAGCTGTGTTTTGCCAATGCTAATGAAAATAATCAGCTGACTCCCTTTATGGACTGTATTTCTTATCTCCCATTGCCTTCTGTCTTAGAGCTCCCACTGTTCCTGCTGCATGTCAATGTTTCTTCAGTAAGGAAGTGATATAAGCCCTTGCAAAAAGTACATTGAGCTGGGAGTGGCTGGAGTAGACTGAGATGAAGTCAAGGGAGCAAGCTGCCAGGCTGTGAATTGACCTTTGTGGGCAGTATGTCTGCGAAAGAACTTTGTTCGGCCTTCTGTCAGAGAAGGGTTTTTGTCAAGGGCACGGTATTGGCAGCTGGTGACTGGAGCAGATTAGGGACTGGTGAACTGGCAGCATGAAGAAGACCTGAAAACATCCTCTCCATCCTGTCTTGGGAATGACCAAGATTTGTACTAGTGTAACAAGGAAGCTGGCCTAGGATGTGCTAGCTCAGCCACTCCACAGACATGCCATTGCAAATCCTATAGGTAATGTGTGTTTAAAATTACCAAGTGCTTCTGAAAATGCCACAGTGCTAGCACCAAGTACAAGAGAGGGGATTTGGCCCTGCATACATGTTTCTTTCCTGCTGCAGTGTCTTGGAATGAACTGAGAAGGCCAAAAATGGAAAGGGTAGCAAGCAAGCATGAAGGGTAGCAAGTTTACACTTGCACTAGCCAAAGCCAGGCTTGCAGGTGGAGGCTTTGCACCAGTATGTCATGCCTGCTCACTGTTCTCACACAACAGCAGGAAATACCAGGCAGCTCTAATAGAAGTTGTATCAGTATTATTTCAGTGAGCTTGAAAGTTTCATCCTGTGTCCCTAAAGAAGTCCCAAGGGCAATTATCAGCAATATATGTTGATACCTTTTGCTCTGAGGACCATCTCAACCATAGCCCAATTCAGTCTTCAATCTATGCATTGTGAAGTTTGGTGGAGACAAATCACCATCTGTTTAAAGACCAGCTTCTCTGAGTTACTGCACAGGGAATTTTTGCTTGTTTACTGGATTTGCCTTGACTTTCCTGGCACCTAGACTCTCATGCAGTCTTTGCTCTACAGCTGTATTTGGATGTCAAGGCCTCTGAGACGTGACCTTGAGATCATAGCCCTGAGATCATGCCCGCTGCTAGCCATCTTCTGTAGGACTCCTGTGCCCTTGTAATTGGCATGTGGAAATGTATTTATTGAGGCAGCACTGGAACTTCCAGCAATCCAAAATACCTTTTGCTGCTGCCGAGTAGTGAGAGTTACTCCTCTCCCAGTCAACTCCTGTAGTTACTTTCATGTAATTTATCAGCTGTAAATGCATCACATCTGCTTTAATGGACAGAAAACAATTACAGTTGAGAGGAAAAAGGGGGAAAAATGTAATGGATGTAGATAAGATGTTGAGGTGGAACAACTTTGCAGAGCTGACCTTCATGCTGGGAATAGTT